TTAGTTTTCTGTGTATTTAAGCTCAGTCTTGTCTCTGTCTCACTGTCAGATCATTGTTCTGTCTACCTGGTCGTGTCCTGCTTCATGTTCTTCGTCTAGTGAGTTTTTGATGTATTATCAGTCTCTTTTGAGTTTTTCTTTAAAGGCCTTGTGCTTTTTGATTTTTGAAACCTGCCTGTGCCCTGGGTTATTTTGTAAGTCCTGACAAAAATGTAAGAATTTCTTTAATTAGCATAAGGAACTACTGTGTAAGGTGCAAAAGTTTGAACTATGCAGGAAAAGCTGAAATAGCCACCAAAATGTGTATTTAGCCCAAAACAGTTGACTTTAGCTGCTAATAGCTGAACATTAGCTAAAGTTGCAGAAAATAACTGAACATAGCAGAAAGCAATTGTAAGAAGCAGAAAAAAGCTAAAATTAGCACAAGGAACTTAAGAGCAGAACCAGAACAAAAGGTGTAAGGTGCTGTAAAGATTTAGAAACATGTTGAAGCATTTTAAGGATGTTAAACAGCTCCATTCATTTTCAACAGGAATAATGTGGCCAAAAATATAAAAGTATAAATAACTGAAACGGATGTTAAAATAGCTCTCAAAAGTCATCACTGGATGTAAAYCTAAGTCATCAACAGTTGGAGTCACCCAAGTCAAGAAGGCTGCCACAGAAATCTACTTTAGTCAACACAAATTATAGCTTAGTCCTATTTATAGATATTGAGCAAATGTTTGAGGTGGTAGTATGAGAGTCATTCACAATGCACATTTCAAGTGTCAATGTACAGTAATTTGGAAGAACGTGTAAATTGTGATTTACAAGATTTGACCAAAAGAGTAGAGTTCCTTCCCTTAAGTATAAGCTATTTTCATTTAAAACTCTGCTGCAGAAGGCAGATAAATCCCATTGCAAAGAGAACATTATTGAAAAAGTTAGACTCAGTATACACACTATGTACTCTAACCACCCTTACCATCAAACAGCAGACACATTTTCCTACTGACTGTTATCTATTCTGCAGTCCTTATTATTCTAACAGCTTTTATACCTTTATTTTCTTGTTTAGAGATTTTTTGTACACTGTAACTACGGTACTACATACTTACAGTTATTTTAACTATGATTTTTCATTTTTTGTAGCTGTTACTTTTAAAATGTTTCATGTTTTGCCTTTTCTCCTTATTTTAATGAACGATGAACTGCTTAAATCCGTGATAAAATCTGTAACTTTTTGTGCTTTTTTTAGCTTTTGACTATATGTTTGTGGTTTTAAATTTTAGTTACTGTTTTAATTATTTAATCTTTGACTTTGATCATTTGGACTTGGAGTTTCTTGGAAAACATTCAACAAAGTTTTCAGCACTCAATGTCACACTGAGAAAATGCTGTTTCTGTAGTTTTATATCTGTTCCATCCTGAACACAACACCCCACTACCACCCATATATTGGTGGCCCCCATTGTTCAGTAACTTTCATCTTAATCCAAAGCTTTTGCTTGTTTTGCATTTTTTCATTTCCTCTTGCTATTTAGGAATAGTATAAATGTAAAATCATTGTTTTTGAGCAATTAGGAGTTAAATATAAATATATTGTATTTAAAATAAAAAATAAAATTAAAAATAAAACTTAAAGTCTTGTCTCATTGAATAAGAATAGCCAGTCTAAAACCAAAGTCATGCAGGAGGTTATATGCATTTTTTAAAGAAATATAAACTTAGAAGACAACCTTCAATAAGTTGAGTAGTGGCAGAACTTACGTAGTAAATAATATTAATTGTAAATCAAAATAAAACCTAAAGTCAACCTATATCAGAGGGTGATTCTTTAACTCCTGTATTGCTAACATTTGCCAAATAACCCATATATGATAACAACCTAACAAATCTCCTGAAATTATTTTTATTATTATTATTTTGGTGCTATCCCAGGATTTTCAGGATTTGTTCATTTTGAGTCTGACCTATGCAGCTGGATGTGTAGTGTGATCATGTGATAGACCTCCATCAACATGTCTGCAACAGTGGCTTCTGGGGCGTCTGTAAGAAAATGAATGGGCAGAGGGTTCCACCTTCCAACCTTGATGATACCTGAACAGAGACAGAGAGAATACCAGGAACTGTGAGTTTCTAGTAAACAACATTGAGACAGAATTCAACCAAAATTTTCCCACTTCTATTTAGAGCTAATTTACTAAAATGTTGACCTAGAACTAATATTAAAAAATACTATTTCATTATTTTTTTCTTTTGACTTAATTTTTGACACAAGACTTTGGATAGAATTGATGGTTTTAAAACATATACGTATGTATATAAATATTATAGAGACAAACTTACCATCCAGATCACCAAAAAATTGTATGAAGTTGTCTGAACTTCATAAAGTTTTGATTAGATGAAAGAAAAAGTAACGTAAATAATAAGTGTTTGTTGTTTTTCACACATTCCTTTATTGTGATAAAGAAAACTTTACAGTGATTTTTCTAACAGTAGCCTAAATTTGATCAAATGAGCTTTATAATTTGGAACTTGTTCTTGAGATAAAAGTACAATTTAAGGGGTTAAAATGATCAACAAATAAATTACAATAGCTAGTAAAAAAAACAGAACAARTAAATAAAAACACTACAATAAGAATAAATTCAACAATCTATTTAACTAGAACATTATGTGCCTCTTTAACCAAATTAATAATTCATAAATAATATTTTCCCTTTTTTCCTATGTCATTGTAATTTAGTATTTCCTGTAAAATGCTTTAATTATATTAAAAAAATGAGAATACAGTGTATAAGAAAATATATACATATATTCTAGAATATAAAATACATAAAGTTGAGTGTAACAGAAGAAAGTGGTTTAAAAAGCTTGTAAATAAAGAAGAGCTGAAATCTTAAATATTTGACCAACACCCTTATGTTTCCCCAACATCAAGCAAGAGCCACAAGTCTCTGCACATGACCACAAAAACTCACTCGAAATGTCGAGTGGACAATTCTGAGAAACTAATGAAACACATTTAACAGTTCATCAAAGTGCCTTCTGCAAAGCTGTTGTTGCAAACTTTAGTTTATAAATTTTTAAGGTTTGGGGCGGCTGTGACAGAGTGGTTAGGGGAGTTTTCCTGTAACTGGAGGATGGCTGGTTCAATCCCCTGTTCCAGCTGTCTCAGTCGTTGTGTCCTTGGGCAAGACACTTCACCCACCTTACCTACTGATGGTCAGAGGGTCCAGTGGTGTCGGTGCATGGCAGCCCCACCTCTGTCAGTGTGCCCCAGAGCAGCTGTGGCTACAGTGTAGCTTACCACCATCAGTGTGTGCATGGGTGAATGTCTGTAGTGTGAAGTGCTTTGGGGTCCGGAGGGACTTGATAAAGGATTCAGTCCATTTACACGTGAGCATATAGGGAAACTTATACACTGCTTTTAGATAACAGCATGTTTGCTTTTAGGTTAATATTGTTGATTGTTCTTCTCTCTCTATTATAGGACTGTTATGTCCATTTTTTTATTTTACCCTTATTTAACCAGGCAAATCCCACTGAGATCACAAATGTCTTTTGCAAGGGTGGCCTGGACCTGAAGGCAACATATTATACAGGTTTTTGGGATGTGGAAGAAACCGGAGTACCTAGAGAAAACCCACACATGCACGAGAATAACATGCAAACTCCATACAGAAATACCCGAGGCCCAAACCGGGGCTCTATTCTTGTTGTGAGGCATGTGAGCTGTTGTGCTGCCAGTGCCAGTTACAAAACCATTTCTCTTTTCTTTCTTTTCTTGCATAGAGGGTGACAGCGTCCATGGGCACTTCAGCATGATGCAGGGGCTGAGGACTGAAGCTCTTTTGCGTTTGCTTTGGGTTTGATAAGTATAATTTACTGTCCCTTCCCTTCCTGAGTAGTACGGGGGCAAGACACACCCATGGTGTTTATACTTGGGTATAATTGTTCGAACATTTGAACATGGCACTTTCAGGCATTTAGAAATTGAGATTTGTGGAGGTTGACAGTTCTCTTCCTGGTATCTTGGCTCTTTTATGTTATTTATTTTTTTATTTGTTTGTTTGTTTGTTTGTTTGTTTGTTTGTTTATTCTGTTGACTTTTGCAGCAAATATGATTTTCCCATGATGCAACACAAAGAAGTATGTCTGAGTTGTGGCTGAAAATGCATTTACAGTGGCTGTCAATTAATCAATCAAAAGCTTCCAAAGCAATAACATCATCATCCAAGATTTTAATAATTGTTTAGACAACATAATCTTAGCGTATTTTTAATCTTAGATTATTTCGTGACATATTGGGGAAAAACGGAAGAAAGTTAGACAACAAACTAAATTTCTTATTCAGAAAATATTCAAAGCTATTACTGAAGTGTGTATTTTGAGCTTACTGTTATTAGTTAGGTTATATGACATTGGAAAATCTTCAGGAAACATTCTTGCTTATGGCTGGAATGAAGAGAATTTCAGGTGTGATGATTTGTGACTATGGCTTTTAGTGCAGAAGCCTTCAGTAATTCTTTACATTAAAAAAACAAAGAAAAGACAAAATACAACTTTTTTTATCCTTTCAGGGAAAAATAACCACTGTAATGTGCATATCATCTCTTCACACCAGAAAGCAAACACGATTGTTTTTAGTTTTATTCTTTTCATGGGAACTGGCTGGTACTGTGAAAACTAAATGAAACTAATCACATTATTAAATGAGATCCAGAAGGTCCCAGAGAATTCTCCCCTCTTCTTTTTTCTTGATTCACTCAGCTCCCCTTCCACATTTCCCTCTTTCCTATTTTTCTCCCCATCTTCAGATATCTCTAATCTCCATTTTCACTATGTTTACAGCTCCATTATATTTGTGTTTCTACTTAGGCCAAGCTGTGTTCTTAATTATTTGGTCATGCAGAAGAACTGTCATTAAAATACCATGTAAAGACGGAACTGAGGCCCTTCAGTGTAAGAGAGGAATCCAAATGGATTCCACCATGAAGATTGCTGAAGACCTAAAACCAGATCAAGTACTGTCAGGTAAGGTTAAAAAAAACTGTTTTTGTCCATAGAATCCTTTACGTTTTTCAATAATTTCCACATAATAAATTTGCACTTTTATTTATGGCGTGGAGTGCAGCAGGGCTTGTCGACTGGGTGTCAAATTTACGTTTTGCTTTAACTTTAGTTATTTTTGTAAATAAACATTTTTTTTATATTTTACGCCGTCTCTTCTCCCTGTTTTGTCGTGGCTGTGAGCCGGTCATAACAAACCTGGGGGCTCGTCCATAGCTAAAAATAACTCGTTCTGAAGGTTGGTACGCTTCAGTTTGGTAAGTAAAATTTACCTAATCTTTGCCATATTTCTGTTGATTATGGTAAATTGTTTTGAGCGCTTGTTTTGCAATGGATGTTTGTAGTTTAGCTTGTTAGCTTTGGCACGTCCATGCATTTGGGTAGCGTCTGTGGGGAAGCCCCTGACGTCATTGCCCTTATAAGGTTAGGTGTGCGCTCTTGGGAGACATATCGACGGTGTTTTAAATATTTGTTTGTCACGTTGAAGTAGAACGTTGTTTTTTCTCACTATGGTGGATGTGAAAAGTAAGTGGTAGTCTTTTTCTAATGTGCACTTGTGTAAAAGTTTCGGAGTCAGTGTTCCCTTGTAGGCTTTGGCGGTGTTTCCCATTAGGGATTTGCGTGGTTCTCCAGTGTGAAGGTACAGCGGATAGAGCTTCCTGTTCCCCCTTCCCTTTCATCGGCTTGGGAGCATTCCATGGTTTCGAGGGGTTGTCGGCTTCCTGGTCGCCTTTACTGTGCCACTGGTTTGTGGCACTGTTATGCCTCACAAAGACTAGGAGTGAATTTAGTATGTTTTTTGGCTAGGTAGCTAGCAGGGACACTGTCTTCTTGGTATTAAAGTTTTTGTGTGCACATTTGTAGGTTACCATTGTGCTTTCAATTGTGTAAGTTGTAGCCATGGATGAAGTTGTGGAGGATTTTGTCGAATCACCAAGTGAAAGGGGTTTGGACATGTGTACAAAAAACAGCTTRTAATGATTGCGGGACATTATAGAGTTGATTTGGGTAACATACAAACTTAAAGAGCTTGTTAAGAGTCAGTTGAAACTTAAATTGTTTGAGATTGGTGTGTTAAAACCTGGTGCTGATAAGCCAGTAACTTGGTAGATTTGTTCTTCCTTGCCCCTGCTTTGTCTTTTGAGCAACAGAAAGAATTGCTTTTGTTAAAACTTAAAGTTGAACAGGAAAATGAGAATTTGTCAAGAAAGTGAACTAAGACATCAGGAAAATGAATTGGGTAAATTTAAAGTTGAGCAAAATGTGGAATTGGCTAGATTTGATTTGGAGAGACAGAAACTTCATCTTATAGGAGAAGGTAAGCTGGAGGACAGTATGGAGCGTTCTCTAGGTTTGCATTCTGGAACGAGATCAGATGATTTTGGTGACTTGAGACTGGTTCCAAAGTTTAATGAGAAGGATCCTGATTTTTTTTTCTTTATTTGGGCATTTAGCAGAAACTCGTGGGTAATCAGATTCTACACGATTACTGTTGTTACAGTCTGTTCTGACAGGTAAATCACAGCAGGCTTTTTCTGCCTTGAGTACATCTGATTCTCTGGATTACAATACAGTTAAGTCTGCTGCTTTGGAAGTATTTGAACTTGTGCCTGAAGCATATAGGCAGCGTTTTCATGGTTGGAAACATGGAGAAAAGTCTCATTTAGAGTTTATGTGGGATTTAGGCACTCATTTTGACAGCTGGTGTTCTTCAGCTGGTGTGAAAACGTTTCAAGAGCTTCGAGAATTAATAATTTTGGAAGAATTCGAAAATTCTGTGTCTGTCTCTATTTCGGCTTACATTGGTGAGCGTAATGTTAAGACTGTAGCAGAAGCAGCTGCTCTTGCAGACGTTTAATCTTTGACTCATCTAGCTGGTTGCAGTGCTGGCTCGTCTGGTCTGCACGAATATTTACCTAGAAGATCTACTGAGTTCGAAAGTAGAAGTGGTCCATTTTCAAGGGAATCTCACAAAGTGTGCAATTTCTGTCACAAACGTGGGCACTGGAAAAATGATTGTT